CCCCAAAACCCCAAAACCCCACAAGGATTAATAATTAAGTCAATTGATTTATCAAAATTCAAATTTCTAAATTTATGAAATTAAGATTATATGATTAATAATTTATATCAATTATCCATTGGTAGTACCATTATATCAATATTGGCCAAATCTCTTGCATGGTGGGCCTTTCTTGAATTTTGACTTTTCTCCTTCTTAATCTTTACTGGTTCCTAAGTTTTAATCTAAACTTTCTTGCTTCTTTCATTTTATAGTAATCTAATTGTGTCACTTTAACTTTGCTGAATTAGTTTTTCATTTCTCGAAACAAGATTTTCAATCTCTTGATCTAGTTTCTTATAATATTTGGGTATTTTTTCATCTTAAAGATCAGCTTTCTAAATTCCTCTTAATTCTTTTATCATCATGTTAATTGTACCAAGTGTTTAGGATTGGCGGTCATCGATCTAATTATTTATTTGACGTGTGTTATTAGAGGTACCTTTACTTTGATGGCTTTAATTCATATTACTTTAAGCATTATTATTCTACTTTTCCATGTTTAGAAGTGTTGAGTAGGAATAGTTTCTAGGAATACTAGTTATATTTGCATTATTAGTAGCTGTAAATAGAGACTTTTAGTTTTGAATTTGATTTAAAACATGAGAGGAATTCACAAGCGAGTTCTTCTTAGACATTAAAGTAGCTCTTTGCTTGTGAATTTCAATCTAAGTCTGAGGTCTACTTGAAAAGTCGTAGTCACTCTTTCCTTCATTATCTTGTGATGATAATTTAGGAAGGCCAAAGAACTAAGGCTGAGATTTAATTTTTGGGACTGAGAGTCTCTCTGTAGCATTTTTTACATTATAGTATTTCTTGAAATTGGACATATTTTATGTTTGTGTAGGGTAGAATCTGCTCTACTCCTACAATTACTTTTTGAAGGATTTCATGAGCTCAGCACCTTTGTCTTTCTCTCTCTTTAAGCTTTTAAATATCATCTTATCTATTGAGGGCATTTCATGATTTGTAGAGTTATAGTCACCACCAACCAATTTCAAATTAGATTTAAATCTGTTTCTACTAAATTCCTGATCTCTTTCTGAATCTTCATCATCAATGTATATTTCTGTCTAAATACTTTTCATTGTTCCTATTCTTGGATTTTTCTTGCCATTTTTGGTGAGAGATATCTACTCTTAATCGAAAGCAGTCCTTTAGAAGTCTTTTTGCAACTATTTCGGACTGAAATACTTCATAAAATCACTGACTTTTTCATCCTTAATTCTACCCTATTTAGTGACAAGACTTGTTTATGATTTAAACTTGCTTTTCTACCTGTCAGATTCAGGCTCTGAAGAAGAGCTTATAGATATATCTTTTTCTCTTCCGGCCTATTTTACACAACCTAAGAGTTTGCCTCTTAGATCTCTTTTTTTCTAGACTTATTTATCTAAGAAATGCTCTTCAATTAGCTGGCTAGAAGGAGGCCTAATATCTGGTTCCTTTACTTTCTTTTTGGTGAATTTTTTATTCTGTTTTTCTATTTTAAGAATGTACTAGTCGCCTGTATGCTAATTAAACTTGAATTTTAAACTGGGATTATTTTCCAGTTTGCTCTCTCTTCTCTTTACCTCTTGTAGTGTATTTACGACTTAAGTCACAGGATCTCCAGCTACTTATCTTGAATGTCTTCTCAGTAAACTAAATAGCTTAAACTCAACATTTCATTTTGGAGCTTCCTTAGCTGATATCTGAGACATGGAAGGAGGTCTCCTCATACTTATTGGTATGTAATTTGGATCTTTTATTTTTCTCTCTTTTTCAATGTCTTGCCATTTTAAATTTATTTCTTTAAGAAACTACTCTTATCTTTATTCCTCTGACTATCTTGTCTCTCTTCTCACGCATATTTCTTCAATGACATCTGTCCATTTATCTTAGATTTCTTTGTTCTTTCAAAATCCTTTAGTCTCAGTTCCCTTTATATTATTCTTTAACAAAAGGATATTCTACAGTTTTTCAGACAATCTTTAAATATTTTTTTCTTCTTGTTTTTTCATGGCAAGTTATTTGGTATTATTCTTTTTTATGCTGTTATATTGCTAATTCTTTGGAGATGATGATCCACTTTTTTATTTTAGGTCATTAAGTGATTACATCAATTATGGCTAAGCAGATGCAAATTTTAGGAGTTTTGTTGGACTTGGCAGTTCTCCATCAAATTGACTTTTTATTAGATCTGTGAAGATTTAAGGATTTTAAATTCTCAAACTGTTCATGATCCCTCTAGCTTGCTTTAATCTTGGAGATGATGTCCTAGAATCTTTGTTCTAAAATTATCTAGGTAGTGGAGATGTAAGATTAGATTAAGGTAAAGAGCCTAGATTTTGAGTTAAAATCTGACTAGGCTTTGACATATTATAACTATAATAATTATTCGTTATTGCAATAGAGCTAATATTTAACCTAAATGTTGCTTGAAGGGGTTTTGGGGTTTTGGGGTTTTGGGG